CAATCAATCAATCAAGACTTTCCTGGCTGTACCCCGGACCCACTTATTTTGCCCCCAGAACCCTAATCGTCAAAGCTACCCACTCGGCCAGGTTTGGGTGCGATGAGATTTTTTGTTGGGAAATAGACCTCTAGAATATAAAGAGTCGAAAGCATGGTACTACCGTTCGTATAGTTCATTGATTGGAGACTAACAAAGACCTCTTGATAATGTTTTCGGAGCCACTGTGTCGGAGTGTATGATACATTATACATAAAGATGCCTTCTCATAATTTCTTTTGGTAGTTTCTGGGTGTGTTCGTTGATTTATCAAATGTAAGATAGATGCTATTTACTATTTGGGCTCACATCAAGCCGCGAAAATAAATTTCTAGCCTTGGAATTGATTTATTGAACCTCTTATTATTTTCCTTCGTCGATAGCCTTCGCCCTATCTTTGCCACGCCTCCCATCATCCCCTTCATATCATCCTTTAATCTCTCATCTTCTTCCGCTCTTCCCTCCATCTCTCGTTCTCTACCGTCTCCTTTCATTTATTTGTCGGATCAAGCACTGTTTTTTCTTGACTCGAGTCCGTACGTTAGCATAGTATTCTGCTAAATTGGCACACGTACTGAAAATAGTCCAAAGACTTCTTGCTGGGTGTAGGATGTAACATTGTATTCTAACAAGCCAAAAAAATATCACACTGATACTAAATATAATAACCAAAAGGGGAATCGTAACGAAGTCACTTACACTTAGGTTGTGCCATCATTCCGCCAATACTACCAGCTGTATCATTACTTCTCCTAGGCTGTGAGTATGCATTAGTGTATGTCCTACATAGCGCACCCTTCAACCCTAATACATCGATGATCAAACAACTTACAAGTGCCGGTGCAACAGTAGCCTTCGCAGCCTTACCGTATCAGCCTCCCCCCTCTCTTTCCAACCACCCACTTCTCGATTAAAAATTGAAGCCGAAATTACCCATCCTCGTTGTCTTAATTGATGAGGTCAAAATCGACCCGAGTGTGACTTATAGGGGACTGGCAATTTGTGTGATAGAGTTGAGGAGTCGAGAGGGTCGTGGTAGACTAGAATCTCAGAAAAAGTGCATTTTTACATCAAACGCGACATGCAACAATACAATAATATTTCTATTACCCAATCAAATGTCAACATTCACTTCAATTTAAGAGAACGTTATGATCACCAGCTTAGAAGAAGGTATCCATGTAGAATGTACAAGTTTAATCTTATTAAATATCTTTGTAGATTGGGAAGAGGAAGAAATCTTATCATTTCTTGGATTCTAGATTTTGAAGGATAATTCTTGAGGCGTACCAAAATTCGGAGATTCTGTGTGGAAGACCTGCAATATCTGGTTGAACTAAGAGTATACTGTAAATGCAGTAATATGAAGCCACGTAGATAATCTTGGCTGGCTGGAAATTTAGGCTGATCAGGAAGCAAACACGACTGGTAAGAGTTCTATAGAAGGAGATCCATTCGACACTCAGTAAGTTCGAATCCATCTGAGACGAAAAAACTGTTTAGGCTTTTTCAGTTAAGTGACTAGCGAACTTTGAGCCGAAACCATAACCTTCAAAAAGCGAAATTGAATTGGATCAAAAGCATGTTTGATCAAAAGCATGTTTATACATAATATAAATAGAAAATGTATAAGAACCTCAAGAAGACATAACCTTCCGAATAACATTCTTGGAGATGACAGAGTCCCTTGTATAGATCTATTAGTATTGGCCAAGAAAGCTCTAGCGAATGCTGAGTCAGGACTCACTCAATGACTAAGCAAACATTCTAATCCGACCACGAAAACAAAAGAAGAAAGGAGAAGGACTCACTCAAAGCTCTGAAAGGAATCAGTCTGGGGAAAGAGAGAAAGTTGATGAGTACATCAAACCATTCTCTAGCACTATAGGCACACTTGCAATAATCGGATTATGTAACACTTCTTCACTCGATTTATGGGTTTCAGATTACAATAATAACTACACTTGCTAATTTGATAAATAAATTCGAATCATATTCAAACTCATGTAATACATACTGTCAAACAATCAAACTATACAAGATTATATTTATTCAATGGAACAACTTGGAGATTTGACCCCTACCGACAAAATGAGATCTGACGTTCAGTAGGTGAAGCAAAACTTACAGGTTCTTTATATAACACAACGAGAATATTGTTTAGTGGTCCGAGATTTGTTAGCTTCGCAGTGATAGCCAAACAAAGATATTCGACTCACATGGCCGGCCGATATAAATTACCTACCTCATTTGAAAAGGGGGTAGAAGGATGTATTGAAGAGGGCTTATCAATAGACGAGGCTCTATGCAAGCCTTATATAGGAAAATGCTGGATGCCTTCTATAGGGAATGAAAATACCGTAGATGATGAGTTTATGAGGGATTCTTTATAGTCATTTGGACTGATTCTTTATAGTCATTTGGACTGAAGGTCGATGCATGGTTTCAAACATTCTTATCCGGATTAACAATGCTATATCAAACTGTGGTAGACAGAGAGAATAATGTTTGGTGATACGCGAAAGTCACAGTGAGTTACACGTAGATTCACTACGCGCGTTTTTTTACCTGATGAAATTAATCCTATGGCTGCATTGGAGGCCTAAATATAGAGTTTGAGTACTCATCATTGGCCGAGAGCCAAAGTCGCGGAATTTCTTCAGCACCTGGTGAGCTATCAATGTAAACAAGAATCCTCAACTTTTCAGAATCTTTTCGCGTCGTTCCTGCCCCGACTCTACGCCCCCGCCCCCCCCATACAAACAAGAGATAACATACAGAAGGAACAATAACATCATGCCTTATATTCCTAGAAAGAGTAAGGCGAAACCAAACTACGCCGCCGCACACGCGGTACATTTGCGCTCGCTAGAGCATGAGCGAAGATGCTCGGCCCGAAGACTCATCGGCACCTGTAAAAGGGCAGATCTAATGTATGCAGCCGAGCAGAGTAAGTAAATATAATCTTTGTGTGATTCTAATAATGATACATCCCGCAATTATCTAATCGGACTAACATATCAAACCTATTTAGAAGCGAAATCTCTTGCCAGCCCCAATTTTACCAGCTCTATTTCAACGCCCAATAGTATGTAATACATCAATTTTGATGACTTAATAGTCCACCATGAATATAATGACTACATCACGTCATTGATCACTAGGCTTGAGCATGAGTTAACGCATATGTGCTATAGGATCGCGAAATGAGAAAGAAAGACGTGCGGCAACTGCTGCTGCTGTCAAAGAGGCGAGGACAGAGCGTCGGGCTGCAGCCAAAGTTGAGGCCGAGGCCGAGGCCATAAGATTGTTGGCCAATGATGCAGCTCGCCTTGCGCAACAATTTTGGGCTATGCGATTGGCTGCACGGGAGTTTGAGGGGGCTGATTTGGGTGAGGATGGAGATGGTGATGAAGATGAAGAGGACGATTATGAAGAAGAAGATGAGGATGATGTTAAGGAGAAGATATTTTCTTGGTATGGGCTGCGTAGGAGGGATGGTGGTGATGAGAATGGTAGTGGTAGTGGTAGGGGTAAGGGGAAAATGGGCGGAAGCGGTCAGGGTGTGGCTCAGGCCATAATGGTTAGCCAGGACTGAAGCCCTCTTTTTACTGTGTAAATGTAGTGTAAATATAGTGTTTCGATTATGTGGCATGTTTGTTCGATTGGTGAATTGATAGTGTAGATGCTGTAAGATATATGTATAGATATTAAAAAAATTGTTAGCTTGATGTATTTGCTATATATTATTGAAAAATGTTTTCCAATCTCATATTTAGACAAAATATATTGAGAGGATGTACAGTAATAATCAATCCCAGAAAAGAAAAGGAGACTTACATACACCAACTCCAAACAAATATACATACCGGCGCCTATTTTCGCCATCCCTTGCTTCTTGAATGAAGAATTTCGAAGCTATTAACATGGTGCATTATATGGGGAGATAAGGATCGAGGAGTCATGATACAGGATAGTGCAGGCTTAGTGTCACTTTTAGATACGGTGTGTTATGACTGATTTCGCGGTGCAGCTGCTGTAATATCGATAGTTGATTTTGTATTTTGGAATCTTAAAGGAAGAAGACTGGCGGAAAATACTGCCCCAGCCCTAGACATTACGCCAAACTTGTGTCCCAGAAATGGTGAGAATGAATAATTATAAGATGAAAAGGGTTTAATATAGTGATCGGGTATAATATACTGGTCTCCACCATGATATCATTCTCATTAAGCTCTAAGGGAACTGGAGACACTTACAGTAAGTGCTCAAATAAACTTGACGCAAACGTAAATTCAAATGTATATTATAATCAATTAATATTTAATTTAGTATTAAGAATGTGCAAAGTATTTAGGCTAGATCTACGATAACATTAGTAAAGAGTTTATTATTACTACTACTAGTCATCTGCAAAAAAGAAAAAAAGGAAATATGGTACCGGGTGGCGCCAACATAAGCTTTGGCAGATTAGCACCGTGTAGGTCGCTTATTTTGGCGCCAACAGCACCCCCGCAAAAAGGTTTTGGCACCAACGGCGTCACTAGTTTGGCGCCTATTGGCAGCCATTTGGCACGTCGCGACAACAATCTCTAAATCTGAAATCCTTAGCACTTTCTTTTTTTTGCGGATGACTAGTGAGCAACTATAGCCCTAGCCCTAGATATTACTCCAACCTTATACTCTATCTCAAAAAAAGAAAAGATATAAAGTTATAAGATGAACTAGATTCGATATAATGATTAGATATAATATTTCTCTTATAATATTATTTTCATTACTCGAATAATATTATAGTTGTCTGGATATCACTCACTTAGCTGTAGTGAGCCGTAGGGCTACGGGTTAGGGCAATAGCGACGCTTTGACCACCACGGAGCGTATATCTTTTAGCATTAGCATTTCCATAGTTTAGTTCCTTAAGACAATACTTAATTTCATAAACTACGAGAATGCTTTTAAAGAATAATAGAAAGGACAAAGACGTGAAATACGATAGTACTATTGACACTTCATCACCACCACGGTGATACCAACAATAGTTCACTAATCATTTAATAGTTTTATACTAATAGTCAAATTTCTATAATATATAATAAAATAACTATCTAATTTCTAATTAGAGAAAGTAATTATTCTTTTCAAATAACG